AGGATGTTAATGGGCCATGAAGTGATAGCATCTCATATCAGAAGGATCACTTAAGAGATACACAGAAGGTCAGTAGTGTGACAGTCCCTGAGCCATGCAGCTTATAGAACCAGGGTCATCAGAGCAACACTAGACTCTTCAAGGTGAGAGCAATCTCTCCATCCTTCCAGAGCCAAATGCTTCAAGAGAATCCCAGAGTTGGAAGTGTCTGCAAGATGGGAAGATAAGACAGATGTCTCCCTCTGGAGAGAGAAGCTTGTTAAACGTGGGCACTCATGGGCCCAGCTCAAGAATCTGCCCAAGCTGTCAGTAAAGGTGGGTGGAGCAGGGAGAGTAGAAAGAACGTGATTAAAAGCAGTGATAAAAATACACACATACACACACACACACACACACACACACACAGAGGCAAGAGAGCCAGCCATTTCATCTTATTAAAACAAAAACAAAACAAGCCCTATATATTTTATTCATTTATAAATAGTGTGTCCCAACAAAAATAATACCGTGGGCCGCGTAAGTAGGAGGGCGCAATGGCACAAGCCTGTACTCCTAGCACCTGCCAGGCATGGCACTGTGCACCCTGCCAGAATGCACTAAATTAAAATCCAAATGGATTGAAGATCTAAATATTAAAACAGAAACATTAAACTTGCTGGAAGGTAAGTTAGGCAGAACTCTGGAAGACATTGGTATAGGAAAAGACTTTATGAACATTTTGCTTTTTTAATTGGTAGATATTTCTAAATATCTCTGACACTAATTATTGCTAATCTCATAGTATATTAAATGTGTTTGTGTTTCCCAAGTGTACAGGCTGTCTAGGATGCAAAACTTCGGAAAACATAGTATCATACTAGTGACCTCCAGACTAAAATTTTTTATGATGATAGACTTTATCAGGTTTTTGTTTAGAGATTCTTATATAATTGTATCATGACTGTTAAATGTGCCCATACAATATACAGTGTAGGCAATGTCACTCTAGAAATTAAAGACTGAATGATAGGTATTTATAAAGTACATCTATAAATAAGTATATATATGAATTTGACAGCTAAGACAACTATGATGGGTTAAAAAAGAGTTCTCTGTTCCAACTTTCTATTTCTTTTTTTAAAAATTACTCTTTTGTGTGTGTGTTTTGTTTTTTTGAGACAGTGTCTCACTGTGTAGTTGAGACTGACCTGGAACTCATGTAGCCCAGGCTGGTCTCGAACTCACAGTGATCCTCCTGCCTCAGCCTCCCAAGTGCTGGGATTACAGGTGTGCGCCACCATGCCTGGCTCCTATTTTCTGTTTCAAAATACTTGGTATCCAGAGAAGATTATGATAGTTAAAACTAGTCTTCCTACTTGAATACTCATGTTACTGGCCTCCTGGGTATTTAATAATTAAGACTTAAAGACCAAAGCTAAAAAAGGTAACTGGTCTAAGAGGACAACCAATATTTTTGGATCTTGCCATCTAAGCTCCACCAGGACCCTGAATGTGATAGGACCCCTGTAAAGGATCGTTCAACTCTGGTGAGTCACCCAAACTCCCAAGCAGGGAGATTGTTGGACCCCTGAAAACAGGGGTTCTTTAGTGTATATTTTGCTTTTAGGAGGGTCAATAAAGAGGGGAATGTATCCATGCTTTGAAGGATAGCCATATTGTCAAGCAAATCCATAACCCATATTGGACAGCAGCACAACTGATAGAAAAAAACTAAAACAGCTAAGAGGCTCTTCCCATGGCCCTAAAAGTAATGCCCTAAGGAGCCTAAAATAAAATAAATAAATAGATAGATAGATTTAATATTGATTAACATGGTCCACATTTTAACTTGTTTTTAAACATCCAATAAGAAAGTGTAATCAGAATATACATAGAAAAATATTAAGTTAAAAGTTAGACTAAATATAAAAAGGGGGCTCCAAATAGTATACCAGCCCCTGCTGGCAGTCTCCAGCTGGACTTATAACTTACAGAAATTACAAAATTTGATTAATTTGTTTTGCTTGACTGGGCCCAGCAATACGCCAAAAGTATTAACAAAAGATCCCTGCTGGGTTTATAGACAGTTACCCACTTCTAATGCATCTGGACTACGATGGTGGGTATCTCCTCTACAGGGAGATGATTGCTTTTGCTTAAACTTTCAAAATTTTATGAAACAGCTACAAAGTGCAGCAGCACTGATTTTAAAGCTTGCTACAGTGTCTAATGTTCCTCAATGGTCAGTAAATGAAGCTCTTCATCAGAAGGGCCATGGGAAGAATTTTTCTCTAGCTACAATTAATATACTCAGCTATGAAAATATAGATATCTTGATCTACCCCAGAGTCCTAAAACTCCTATGATAAAAGATAACCATCAATTTGTAGATAAATATTTTCAGGCCAGGCTGACATCTACAATGAGACAATTCTGTCAACTAGCACCTTTTGTGAGTAACAAAAGAAATCATACTTATGATAAATAGAGCAATGGCACCCAAAATATGGGATGGATTCCTACCCAGGGTTGTATTAATACTATTGTGTTAAGAGATACTGACTTGTTTGCTACCGCCTGGAATTTGCAAGAGCTGGAATTAGATAACCAGCCCCAAACAGTCCCTAGTGGCTCTTGGCATAAACCTATGAACTTGATTGCCTCCAGGATGGATAAAACGGTGTACATAAGGGTACCCATGGTCCAAGGGCACTGGGTTAAAACCATAGCTCAACCAGACAACCTCCAAGTCTTGTGACATCAATGGACCAGATTAATTTTTCACTGATATGATCATCTGGCTGCTATCTTTATTTCCCAAATAGGACTTGAAGATATAATGTGGCACATTAAATTTCATGCTAACTATATGTAAAAGCGGTGACTTTCATTACTAAATTCAAAAAATTAAAATATAAAAAGTCATTCCACAAAACCAGCTGGCTCCAGATACTGTAACAGCAGCAGAGATGGAACTTGTGCTATTATCAAAATAGAATGTTGTGTATACATTCCTGACCAGCCTGATAATGTGTCTTTTTCATTACAAGATCTACATTCACACATCAGTACAATGTCAGACACTGCTGTAAGTTTCAATAACTGGCTACCATCCTGGTTCTCTAAAACAACTTGGAGAAAATATTCTCATTTCTCTGGTTCTGATACTGTGTATTAAAATTCTTTTATGTTCCGTGATCCACTGTTATTGTGGGCTAATATTTCATATGCCCTTGCACTCATTTTCAAACTATCAATATATAATGGTTCTTCAAAAGATGAAACCCAGTTTTCTTAAGTCTCGTTTAGATCATTTCTGTCCCTGGTTAGGCAGGATCAATGCCCCTCTTTAACTTGAAGCAGTTACATGAAGTCGGACTGTTGGTCCTTCTTTACCTCCTTAAGAGGAAAAGATTAAAGTCTAGGGGATGATGGGGTAGCATTAAAAACAAATAAAAACTAAGTGAAAAGGAAATTTAGATTTTAAAATTGTATTCAACTGTAGCTTCCAGAAACAAAAGTTATTGAAGCCCCCTTCCCTTCCAGGAAACTCAATCAAAAAAATTTCCTAAAGGTCTTAAAGACAAGCCTGTAAATCCTGGCTCTGAACCTGTACTTGTAAATTTTACTTCCTCCACCCTAAAGAAAGCTGTGATATTGGTGGGTAGAATATCTCAACTTCAAATGTATGTAGGTGGCTTGCACTATAACTTGACAGAAAGTAGGAATACATATCCTAGATTCCCCAACTTGAAAGCACCCCCTTAAATGTACTCAATTTCACCTCAGAATGCATCTCAATATCTCTAAGTGCCTGCAATCCACTTTTGGCTGCATTCTAAAATCTCTGTCTGATAAACCCTTCTCCTGTCTCTTCCTGACATGCCCTGAAAAATCTTTATTCCATAGCAAGAGACAGCAAAGCTGCAAATTTATCTTACAAGGGTGGGATAGGTTCCTTATTTCAGACTCAGGCACCCTCAGACCTAGCCCAAGTGATAACATCACACACAGACATTAAATTATATATATAT